TAGGTGCTTTTAGATAATCCACAGATCTGATTACTCTAGGGTTGAAATCAATGCATATTTAATATATATAATTACTTAGTTTCATGTGTGTTTCTTACTATGCATAACTATTGCAGATAGGGACATGTAACCGGTGCTTTAATTTTGTTGTCAGACAAGATATATGACCAACACATTAAGTCATCATACCTGTATATGGTGATTATTTCATTAAGATGTGCTTCTATTATAGGAAATACAGTATTCCTACACACAGCTAGGAGTTCTTTCTGTGCTATCTTTGATCTTCTTACTTGGTGGAAGAAGTAACCATTACTGGAGATTGATGCATGTCACTTTGATTTGAAAAGTCAACTCAAGCTGACTCGATTCATCTATCAGACAGCTGACTCGATTCATCTATCAGACAGCTGAAGCTGTAAAATAACAATGTAAACAATTTTCACAATGAACGGAACTAGGATCTAAATTATCCTTAAATGTGTATACTTTGAGATTGAACACAAATAAAGTATATGCTTTGGTCATTTTATGAGTCACAATCATTTGGAATAACAAAGTTTATCGAACTAAATTTATGCTATGATGTTGACATTAGTGTTCTTGCTATAAACTTGATGTTTTTCATTGTCACATGTATACATTGTATCTCCATAGTGAAATAAGATACAGCTTTTTACTCAGCTGTTACATTGTATATTCTTGTCACACTTTTGCCCACTTTATAACAAACAGAATTCTATATGCTTAGTTTTTAACAATAAGTACAAAACAGTGACTGTGGTGAAAATAGAAAGGCAACTATTGCAGTTTTGCAGACAATACAACTTTATTAAAGATTGCTTTGTGTAATATTTAAATTTTTTGAATCCAGAATGAATTTTTTTTTAATTTGAATGTACCATATGTTTATATAGAAGAGTTTCCAGGTACAAATGTACATATGTACCAAATGTTATGCTTTTATTATAATTTGAACAATACTACAACTTATCTGCTGGACTAACCTCCATTCTGGTTCATGCTCGTACAATAATATGTCATTTTAAATAGTAGAGCATCATGGGATATTTTCAATTATCTGCTTACAAACTC